CTGGAGCTGATTTCAGGTTATGGGTGTACAGTTCATCCAGGGACACATGGTAGTTCTGAGAAATAAGGTGACAAGTAAAAGACTAATTTAATTTAATGTGTGCATGGTGTGCAATGTGAAGGACTGAGTACTGACTGAAGTAAAATACTCTTCTTAGATCTAAGTAAGGTAATCTGAGTTTGTGCTCTGGTCTTGCACTGTCTAAAGACATAGTATAACACAAACAAGGACATCTTTCAATCTACATGCAACTTGTGTCCTAAAATTTAAAGGCTTCAAAGATAAAAATAAAGATAGAATTCAAAGCTTCAAAAGATAGGTAGCTCTTTAGGGTTTTTTTCAGCGGTGGCATACATTACAAAATAGAACTCCTATAGTTCATTCTCAGACAGTCAACTTCTATAATGGGTAAAGGAAGAAAATGGGTGAGGGAGATCTGTCAAAAGAGAAGTTGCTTTTCCTTCAAATTATGCCTATTATGTAAATTAGCAGTTTATTTCTATAATTTCAGGAGCCCTTAGGACTGTACAAGTAGAGACCAAAAAGCATGAGACATTACAGCAGAAGAATGGATAAATTATATTTGTTTAACTTTGTACTGAAGTTTTCTGCAGGTTTGGTTTCAGTAAGTTGGAAGGCGTACTTTGTTTTTTCACTACCTACTTCTATCATGAATTCCTGCAACCAGTGGTAAGGCGTGGTTACAGTTAGCCCCACTGTGGTCATGGGATACTCAAGATTTTCACTGTTGGTGTTGGTGTTGGTGCTGCTGGGAGCATGCTTTTAATGTGTGCCCCAGGCAGCTAGTGGTCATCTTATTCTTGTACAGCACTGTATATGCTTAGGATTGTATTGAGAAGTTTGCTGTGAATGTCTGCCTGATCAATAGCTAAATGTCTCTAAAGCCACTGGAATAGTAGCTGGAGGCCTACAAAGAGCACACAAAAGGGATTGCTAGTTGGAAGATTCTCAGTAGATACAGAGGGTTTAGTAGAATTTCTTGATAGGTTATATACAGTTATATACAACAGTTGTGGTTTAGTTAATAGTGAAAGGTGTTATGTTAAAGATAACATAGCATAGGCAGCACAAGACTTACCAGAGGTTTTTATGTGTACTTTTAGAAGTGCTAGAGGGAGAGCACACTCTTCTGAACATTTGTGGCTCTTTTCTAAAAAAATAAGGAAAACCATTTCTGTATCTCTTGTTTGACATAGCTAATTACATTAACTGACAGAAATTGTCTGAGGCTGACTTTGTTAGAGTGTGTTGTGCTTAAGGTACTGGTTTTGAATATAGTGTTGCTGAATCTTTTGGGTCCTCCTAGAGACCAAGGAGACCTAAGGACATTTTTTACTATTTTTGTGCTCTGTTAAGGCTTTCATTGGGAGTGATCCCATTATTTTGAACACTCTTGAAATGCAGCAGTTTGCCAAGGTTGTCAGTGAGAATTAAGATTGCAATTACTCTTTCTAATAATGAAAACTTGAAAGATGACAGATAGATATTAATTTCACCAAGTCTTCATGCATTGTTCTGTCTGTCTTTATGGATCACGTTCACTAATAGTATCTTAACAATGTTTGCACATACCATATGTTGAGCATGTCAGCAATGAGTGGTGTATTTCAGAGTCCCAGCTTGGTTATGAGTGTTTCAGCACATGTAAGAAATGCCCATAGGCAATGGTGAAGGTGCATGTGGGAACTTTGTAACCAAGTAAATATGATGAAACCAACATTCCTTAGCAGAGATGTTCAAAGCTTGGAAACTTCTCTTTGTCAGCCATGGTATTTGAACCTTCTCTTGAACCATGTCATGATATTGCCTCTATTCAAATTTGTTCTTGTAGTATTTTCAAATGATAGGAGGAAGGAGGTGTGAAATGTTGACTATAAGTGAGGCATTTTTTCATTTCTGAAAACCACTTGTCTTTGGTTTGACTGAGGAGCTCTGTAATTAATGCTGCATATTAATGATTGATATCCATGTAATTCTGTAAGTAGAGTCATTGAAAAAGTGCATGCCAAGAGCCACAGAAATAAATAAATGTAGTAAATACCCTCTCTTTGTTTATAGAAAATGGCCTGTATATGCTGCAATGTAATTTACTGTGTCTGTATATGTTTAATAAGCTCAATTCACATTGTATCACCATATGCAAATATGATTGATAATACTTTAAAAAATGAGATATAGTAGTCCACCTGCAGTGCCAATGCTGCCTTGTTATTTTAACTATCTTCTGTGTGTTTCTTTTTCAAATCCTGAAAGCTAAAGAACTCAAATAACATAAATGGTTTAGATTTCTTATCACCTTCTAGACTTGTGAAATAGAAGAACCTTGAGATGTGTGGTACATCAACTTCTGTTGACTAATGAATTGTATCATTTTTCAAGATATTGGGAAACGTTCAGCAGTATATGATTTTCTAGAGGAGGTAAACACCAATTAACTGTAATTCACAAAGTGTTTAAAACAATTATTCTTTATCATTAAAGTTCATAATATGCACATAATATGCATATCAGCTCTTGGTGTAGTCAAAATCAATACTGCCGTTTGAGAGTTGTGGTCCCTGGACAGCTTTGTCTAAGTATTGATTTCATTGTCATTTGTATAAGGTATGAAACAGATTATGTTCTTCCCTAATATCAATGTAGGTACTGTAGCTACTCAGTTTATGGTTTCTAATAATGCATGAAAAGATAATACTGAGTTAATGAAGATATTGAGAAACACAATTGCCTAGTATGCTAAATTTAATTATGGAAGGCAAATGCCAACATTCAATATATTTTGAACAGTTTACTGACCAAAAAAAGTCTGAAGAGAAGAGCAAGTCATGAGTACTATGCAACTCAAGTGTTCATTTACATCAGACAAAGTTCCCCTGGGTCCAGGAAGCAGCAATTTGTTGTTCAGCTTTCTATTTACATGAAAATAATATGTACACTTGTACTGTGCCAAAGGCAAAGGTTACTTCTTCCAGTTACTGGAGAAAATAAAAATATAAAAGCATGATAGTGTGTCTCTTTTTGGACAGATTTATAGCAGTTATCATTACTGACATAATTTGAAATACAAGTTAAATAGTTTAGCCCAAAAGCTTTCTTCCCTTTATTGCCTCTTGAAACGCTTTATTGAAAGAGGTCTTCCCACCATGCCCCATATGTTTTCATTTGTGTTTTTCCCATCATAGCTGTTCCTTAGGTCTACCTCTCCACCCCTGCTTAGCCTTCTAGGTAGTTTCAGGATTGCCCTGAAATGCTGAAGATACCAATCCCACCTTTTGCTTTCTTCCATCCCACTTTGTAGCACTCCTTTTTCTGACAGCCAAGCTGTTCTTAAGCATCAGATTCAGGTGTCTACTTTTTCTCTTGTCCTTTTGTCCTAGTTTAGGCCAAGGATGTGTGAGGTTAGAGCCTGGAGGCATGTGGGCTTGTCTAGGCTGTTACTCTACACACAAATCATTGCTGGTATGTGGAAGTCAGGGAGTCTCTCTTCCAAGATGAAGAGGCCATGGCTTCTGGTGGAGGAAAATGGGCACTGCAGAGGTTCAGCAGACATTTTCTCCCTTTCTGGGAAAGTGTGTGGCGAGTGGAGTGGTGGGTTGGTGCTGATCCCAGAGGATTTGTCTAACATTGTGGGTTTTTTTCGTTGTCTTGATCTTGGGGGCAAAAATTGCAGGTGTAGAAAGTTAGTGTGCCACTTTCATTGTCTCAGGCTTGTGGGAAAAAATGTGGTGTAGAGAGTGGTGGGGTGACACCATGTGTGCAGGGTGATATGTCAGACTCGGGGAGCATTTTGCATGTAATCACCTTCTCTTATACCCCATTACTGTTTGCCTTCTTATCTCATTCCTATTTCCAGTAAGTTGTTACCTCAACCTATCCTTTCTGCTTTTAGTTTCTTTCACCTGAAAGACGATTTGGGGAAGGGGAAGCAGCTTAACTTCCTGGTTGGCTTAAACCACAACACCTTTCCAAAATAAAACCTTAAAAGTCTTAGCGTCAGTTTCATGTTCTACCCCTAAACCTGCAGTTGTGATCGTTTTTATTGCACTTTCCATATCTAAGCACTGCATGCCTGCAGTCTTTCCTGTAAGCTGCCTATTTAATATTTAAGGACACACACACACATACACTTACACACACACACACATATCACACACACACACTTGCTTTGCCCATTACTTTTCTTTAAAGGAAAAAAAATATACCTCCATATCCATTTCCATTATCCTGCTTCAGTTATCTACATAATGCATTTTCAAAGCAGCAACTTCTTACTTTCTCATTTGGTGACTTTCATGCTGAAGGACCTCTCTGTAAACATATCCAAAACTACTTTTTGTGCTTTAATGTATAATAAAATATCAACCATGTTTGCCTTTCTGTTGTGCTGAGACTACAGCCCATCATTCCAGCCCATACCCTCTCATTCTTTAATTGTGCTTGCCAACTTTGTCTTGTGTTAGGCTTTTATGTGAGGCTGTCATCAATAATCTTTGATTTTTGGGAGAGGATTTGTACAATGTGAAACATCATACAGCATAATAGTCTTTGGATAATTTTAACAGGTGCTATGTTGTTACAAATAATACAGAACAATACATTTCCTTCGTATCAAAATACCTGCATTATGTTATCTTTAAAGTGAATGGGTCATCAGTACCATTGAAGTAAGGTTCTCTTAGCTGTCTCATATGGGCAGCTTCTAGGAACATGCTGTGTTTCATCAGAAGAGTATGTATGGCGATTTTGTTGTCTCCTCACCCCGCCTTTTTTTTTTTTAAAGCAAAGGAATTGTTCTTTTAGCAAAGATTGTTAGTAGATTATGGAGATGAATAGTGTTGTATGAATATCTTGAATATGGTGCAAACCATTACAGTAAAGCTCAGAAAATGAGAAACAACCCCCCAAACTTTTTTTATTTAAAGCTTACTCATCATGTGTTTTCTTAGTTCATAAAATTAGTTCCAAATTTTCTCTTACAGGTAAAAGTGACCCATTTTGTGTAGTTGAATTGAACAATGACAGACTGCTGACACATACTGTCTACAGGAATCTCAATCCAGAATGGAACAAAATCTTCACATTGTAAGTGTTCGGATTTAGGTGGGGGGAACGGTTGGACAGTGGATTTTGGGTAGTTTTTTGGAGGTGAGAGTGTTGGAGAGGGAAGGAACTGGCAGTTCTAAAGGAGAATAGTGGTGACTGATATTTCTTAACTAAACATCCAAATATGTTTTGAGGATTAAAAACATGAAAAAAATACAGAAGTGGTATAATTTTAAACGTAAAACTGCAGGACTGTTTCTGGGAAAGCATGTATGAGTAATGCTATGCACACCAGACTCCTGTTAGGTTCAGCAAGAGTTTCAAGGGTCAAATCCAATGTGATGGATTTGCCCCTGAAGTTTTGAGTAGGGAAAAAAAAAGATACTGTGAGTATGACCTTTATTAAAATGTGGTTGTTAACTGTAAAAAGCATTAGATAGCTACATAAAGTTGGAAATTCTGCATGCATTTATATTTCTCTGAATTATGATTAAATACTTTCTACTTGTTTCCATTTACTAACTTCCCTTCTCACAATACCATCTAGTATCATACTACTACAATCCAGCTATTGCGAAAAATGCAGTCTAAAACAAATGATTGGGGAGTCATATGATTGGTTCTTCTATCCTTGTGTTATTTTGAAGACCGTTAAAGGCTTTGACAAAATAGAAAAAAGGTCTTCCACAAAGTGTCCTTGTTTTTTGCCTTGCTCAATTGCCTTTTTTTTCTGCCTTCTCTCTATCTGACTGTAATGTGTAGAAAAAAACTGATCACTGCTGCTGAAATCAGTAACAATCCTCTGCAAAAACAGTAGCAGCTTTAGTTTTGTGTACTCTTACTTCACTTTATCATACATGAAAATGCTATATTTTGCCCTTAATGTCAAAACACGGTGTGATTTTAATCTTGGTTTTCCCCTCTAGATTTATCATTCATATATTTACCATCCACAGGTTTTTGTGACCTGCAGTGAGCTCTCAGAAATTAATTCAGAGAAAAAGAAAAAAAATCTCACAGTAGTTGTACTTTTCAACAGCTTATTATAGTAGTTCTAATTTCTATATCTGCAAAACCATGCTAAATTGTTCATTAATATATTTTTAATTATTTACCAATAGAGCCAATAACTAATCATCCTCTACTTCGTGACCGTGTTCTGTGCACAAAGAATTGCCTAGACTTGTAGAGGACAAAAGACTAATCAGAAATCAAATAGAAAACGTCCTTCCTTCTATGTACATGTGCATTTATATTCAGATTTCTTAGTTAATTTTTGGGCTAGCAATCCCTCATCTGGAAGAGTATATTTTACTGAAGTTGAACTGCTTTGTTTGAATTTGTATTTCCTGGGTCAGCCATTCAATCAAATACGAGTTCTCTCAAATAATTTTTTTATTCAAATAAGGAATATGAATTTTTCACCCAAAAGTTTACATGTAGAGTGACATTTCCTGTGCATGGCAATGGAAAGTCTAATATCTTGCAGTCTTTTTTCTTCAGTTGTACCTTAGACATGCATTGTTCCATATTATTTGTTCTTTATTTGCTGTAATTTGTTGTATATTTGTAATTAAATGAGAATTTCAGAAACAAGGAATTTGTTCTTAGTGCAAGGATAAGCTCTTGTAACTTGTAATTATTTCCATTTACAAACCTACAGATTTCACTGCATTTGCAGTAAGAACTGCCACAAGGGTAGCCGTGTTTTAGAGTAGTTTTTAAAAGCTCTCTCTGTCTTTCTGCTGGTGGCTGTAAATCCCCCAGTGCTGCTCCTTGCAGGTCATACAGTGCAAACCCCAGGCAGGAGATTTAAAGCAACATCCTTCAAAAAACTTGTCTGGAAAAGCTTTCAGAGAGAAAGAGTGATAACTGCAGCCCTTAGACAGCATTTTGGTTATAAAAAGCCTTGCAGAGAGAGAGAGACAAAATAATCATTGCAGCCCTTAGAACGCATATGCAGAGATGTCTCATTCACTTAATCTCAGTTCTCCTCCATGGGTTGGAAAAATAGATGGATATCTGTGTTAACCTTTTACAGTTTTGTCCTTGGTACCCACTGGTGTAAGTGACTTATTTCTTCTGTGTGTACTTCTCTCTTTATAGCAATATAAAGGACATCCACTCAGTGCTTGAAGTGACAGTTTACGACGAAGACCGTGATCGAAGTGCTGACTTTCTAGGCAAAGTTGCTATACCATTGCTGTCTGTAAGCTTCATTCACCTGACATACTGCTCTGAATTTTTCCCGCTGAAGGAGGGAAAGAGAAAAAAAATAAAAAAAAATTGCAGTTCTGAGTCTGTCATTTCTCAACCAAGGTCTGTAATAAGAACACTAAAATTTTAACATACTCTATTCACGGCCATGTTGAATCCCATGATAGTTAATTTTTCCTGACAGACTCGGTCCTGGTAATGAACAGGTACTTGTCAGACTTGCCACAGTTGTTTTGGGTTCTCTGTCAGTTTCAGCAGCTGGGGGTCAGGGGTCACCGGGGGGGTGTATTCAGCGGAGACCGCAAGACAGACGGCTGTCATGTCCTTTTCCTGCAGATTCAAAATGGTGAACAGAAAGCCTACGTCTTGAAAAACAAGCAGCTGACAGGGCCAACAAAGGGGGTCATCTATCTTGAAATAGATGTGATTTTTAATGCTGTAAGTCTTAACTTTGGGTTTTTTGTACTGCTAAAGAGTTCAGTTTCATGAAAGCTTTTGTTCCTGATTTGTAGAGAATTTCTGTCATTCCTCATTTTCTCTAAGCCTTGATGTATACTACAGAATACTCTTCTGCCACTGCTTGGCACACCCACTCTTTTTGTTGCTGCTGCTGCTGGTATTGCTGCTAATGTACAGAGCAGCAACTCTTGTCTCTGTGTATGCTTATGTGTCCTGAGCTTGGCAGCCATGACTTTGAAACTTGGTAAATTTTGTGAATTGAAGCTTGTGTAACTAGTGAGGAGCAAGTAAACTTGAAATACTAACACGCATTTTAATGCATAGGTGAAAGCCAGCATACGAACCTTAATGCCCAAAGAACAGAAGTACATTGAAGAGGAAGACAGACTGTCTAAACAGGTAAAGAGTAAGGAAACACTAATCCCTTCTAAACTCCTTAATATCAACTGTGCACATTCAAATATCTGGTATCATACTGCTGAGAGTAAAGAATAACATTTTCATTATGTGTTTACAAAAGAATATGATAGGTTGAGAAGTAAGAAACAGAATACATGGGTTTAATGTGTCTCCTCTATAAATTGCTGTCTAATTTCCATTAAATACATGAATAAGAACAGTTGAAACCATCAGGTTTCACACATATCAGATTATTGCACAGGTGCATGTAAAATAAGTCTTGCATAAATTTTTGCTGTTAACTTTGACCCAAAAGCTCTCCATTTGTTGCAGGGTAAAGAGTCAACATTCTTTTAGCCAAATTTCAAGGAAGTTACTTGAGAGAGGTCTGCATCAATGGTGATAGCAGACTGAAATTCTTTGGAATCCCAGGAATAGGAAATGTTTTAACTCTTTCTTTTTTCTCTGGATATTTTTGCTACACACAATTTTAATGCTTTTGTAAAGAAATATTTAAACACACATATTTTTCTGCACTCAAACTACTTTGGACTCATTTTTTCTTGTTCCACAAATGTTTTATCTTACATGGAGAGAATTTGTTGGACTATGGGAACAAGATTTTTGTTGTTTTCCGTGAAAAGTCAAAGGTCTGAGAACTGCTTTCTTTTTTTCTGAAAGCTTGTATACTGAAGCATGGTTTAAATTACCTGCTGGATGAATTTCATATCAGTTTATGACATAGTTCATAAAAAAAAATACTTCAAGAGCTAAAATATTTCCTCATTTGCAATTTTGAGTAATGTAGTTACTAAAGCTGAATTTGTCACTACCATTCCAGCAAAGAAGCAACAAAGCCTTTTACTCAAAATTCATTCTTCTTCCCACTTTCATAAATGAAAATGGCATTGTGACTTTTGCAGATGGCAGGAGGAGTGACCATTTTCTATGTGTCTCAGTACACAAATCATTCACTGGTTTGCTCACTTTTTGTGGTGAAGTGTTGCCATTTTAGAGGATTTAAGTACATTTTCCTGAATCAAAACCTAGAGTTGTTGTCTTACATATATGTAATTTGAAAGTATGTAGATTACTTTGGTAAATACTTAAAACAGTGCTTTCAAAATACATCACAGCAGACAAATTTGTTAAAAATGTTAAATGGTGCTGATATTTTAATTATATTAGAGCAGTAAGTTGAATGGCTTCAGGTTAGTGTCCTGCAGCATCTTTTTATTAAAAATGGCCAACATTTGTTGAAGGCTTAATGAAACTGAAATCTAATTAACAAAATAATTTGTGAAATTTTGCAAGTGGCTTTTGATTGATGAACAATTTTTATACCATCTAGAATTAAATTGAACAAATGCCAATTGACACAATCAGCAAATTCTCTCTCTTCCTAGTCTCAGATTTTAAACTAACTTGCTCAATTTGTGAGCTAGAGAGCTATATGTATAATATATATAATATATAATATTTTCTCAGCCTTTCACCCAAATTGAGAATGACAATATTGTTAGTGTGAGCCTCTCCTGAAACTTTTTGGGGTTTTGAAATTTTTTCAATCTTTCATCTTTTTAACAGCTACTGTTAAGGAACTTCATCCGGATGAAGCATTGTATCATGGCGCTCGTTACTTCTGTCTGCTATATTAGCAGTTGTTTTGACTGGGACTCTCCACCAAGAAGTCTAGCTGCTTTTTTGGTATGATCTTCTTTATACTATTTTAATCATCCCAGTGTCTTTGTGTTCTAGACTGAGACAATACTGTGTAGCTTGGTGGTTTTGTTTTAATTTATTTAGAAGTTCGCATTGCCATAATGTCATAAGTCATGTTTATTCAGTTTTTTTAAAAAGTAATTAAGTTTAAAATGTCACACAAACAAGATAGAGTGGGTTTTTTAAAAATTTATAATTGTATATTTATAGTAAAAAAGTCATTGATTATATAAGGTGCAAGCAGGTGATGAAAATCAAAACAGAGTCAGTGAACTATGGATAATATATTTAAAGCTTCTCACAAATTACGTCCATTAAATTTTGTTTGGTCCCCATACATATTGAATAATGACTCTCAAAGTATTTTTGATAACTAATTATTCAAAGATGGTGTTCCTAGATTAAAAAAAAATCCACCAAAATAAGACAAACCCAATTTTAAAACCACAAATGCAAACAAACTAGTACCTTTTAGATAGCAAGCTCTGGTCATAGTTTTTGGTGAATGGTTTTAAGTGAATTATTTTTAGCTATTTAAACAAAATTGCTTTTTCTTCAGGAACATTATTTTCTTTAGTATTAACCTTATTTTTCTGTTAAATTTTAAGAATTCCAAGCACAGTTGTAGATTGCATTGTGTTACCCAGATAAATACCTCTTTATTTTTAAAATCATAAGAGCTACAAACAAGACCATTATTTTTTTCATTACAGAGTAAAAATGTATGCATGGACATAGTTTCTGTAATTTCTAAGTTTTTTTAATTGGCTTAGAGATACTGAGATTAGTATCTGCTCCTCTATGATTATGAACAGGGAAGGGTTTTGGTATAACTTTGAATAACTATGGACATCATCCGGTGACAGTACCTTTTACTTAGGTGCCTGAAGGTCAGGTGCCTCAAATTTGAAGAAATCAAACCAGGCATTGGTAGCTGGCTGTACAGTAAAATGGGATAGTTGGGTCTGTCACTAAGTCAGGCTGTTTTGCAAAAAGATTCTCCGTACATTCTCCGTTCTCTGCAAGGCTCTGTTTTTACTGTGTTGTTTGTTAAACTCTTGGTTGCCATGTTCATTGGGAGTACAAGAGATACATGTGCTATTCAAAGAGCCAGGGGGTTGTACTTTTACCAATGTATGTAGTAATAGCACTGTGTGGAAAGATAAAATATGCTTGCTACTATTTGTTGTAGAAATGTGATCTATCATTTCAGTTAAAATTTATCAACACTTCATAGGAAAATGCAGGTTTCAACACAAAACTCAAATGTTCATATTGCTATTACTGCTTCAGTAAGTATTCATCACTCTAAGTCAGATTTTAATATGGATATGGAACACTCAGCTGTTGCCAGTGGAAGCAAGGAAAATGGAAAGACGTCCTAATCTTTGGGCTTTTTTTTTTGCCCCGATGGCACACTGCTGTCTCCATGGAAGTAGTGATGTTGTTGTTAAACTGTAATTGGTTTTGGTCATAGAAAAAAAATCAGTGTGATAATAAGTAGTAGTAGTATGTAAAACAGAATTTAAGTAGGGAGGTCAATAATTAGTAATATGTTATTATTATAGTTACAGCGTACTGCAGTAGAAACATTTTCCTGGTTATATTTTTATAGATACGTTCATATTTTTCATACCTATTTATATAGAAACATATATATATATATATATATATGTTTTCTTGGTTTTCTTACAGGATATTTTTCTGCTTATGTAGGTGTTGCAGTAAATTTTAATGATTATATTACTGCTGTGATTGTACAGATGTATTCCAGTTCTGCATCCAAAATGCATTCTGTACTTTTTGACCTGATGTTATCCTCTTCAAGGATCAAATCATTTCTCTGTCAGGCAAAAGAAGTCTTTGCTGGCCAAGTCAAATATATGTGAATTTTTATCCTGATTATAAGCTTTGGGTTTAGATGGTTTCTGGACTTTCATAGGCTGTTGAAATCTCGAGAGTGATCCACTTGCTTGTGTTATGATGAATTATACTTGCACAAAGGTTACATTTGAATTTAATAGAATGTATAAAATAAATGTACATATATGTTTCATTTTCTCATCACTATTATACAAATTATATCTTCTTGTGAAGTTGTCTTCTAGGGGCTAGAAAATCTCACACTGAAATGTCAGTTCCAGAAACAAGATGAGAAATGGGCTGTTCTGGAGGTTTTCAGCCCTTTAGCCAGACTAAGAAACAACATATGAAAAGTAAAGCTTTAAACTAACCATTTCCTCATCCTGTTGGATTTGAAAATGTACTGTGATGGGTGCATCCTGATACAGAGTTACAGTCATTTCACCTAAGTTGCCTGTGTAAGTGTTGATTTTTTGTATCCCCCAATGTCCCATGTTCTTGGTGTTACAATTATAGATACTTTTTTACCATGTGACTTTTCTTTCTGATGGGGATTTGGGGGACCACAGGTGAAGAAATTCTGGCAGAATAGCTCAGTTTTCGAAAATGTAATTTCTAACATAGATCAGGAAAGGAGAACTACTCTTGGAAACCTACAGAAAACTTTGATTAATATGTTAACTATAACAAGTTACAGTTATCTGCTTCATATGCAGTTCTTTTTAAAATCATTCTTCTTGGAGAGTCACACTGTTAGTCACCAAGGCTAACAATGTTCATTGAAAGGGCTTGGTGATTATTTATACTCCTGAGCTTATCTGTCTCAAACTTTTTCATTATTTGGGATATTTTAGGTACAGAAAGCTGTATTGATGTTTTAGGATTATTCTTCCCAAAATCTGTCCAAAGGCATCAGCTCAATGACCAGTGTTGCCTGTGCTGTTCATAGACATAACAGAAACTTCAAGTTATGTTTTTAATGTCCTAGATTATGCATTTCCTCAACTGAACATTATTTTACCTGTTTCTATTAAACTTCATAAGCTCACCACCTTCACTGAGGATTTTGTCTGAATAACTGAGAGTTTTCACTCCATTTCTTTTTTTATGCTTTGGTAATTCACAGCAGAAGAAACATTATATACATATATGTATATATACAACTGTCATGGTGATATAACTGGGATGTATTAATAGCTGTTATTTTTCAGATACTTAAAGATATTAATAAATATCTCATGCACTATAGGTTGATCAGGTTAGCATATGACTTTATTAGAGCAATTAGATAATTCTATATTCTCTCCTGCTTTTTTGTATTTTTTTTCCTATTAAATAAAGGAAGTGCATAGCAACAATATTAATTTAATATTTGAGTTTCAGAACAGCTTTATTATATCACATATCTAGGCTGATCAAGAATGTGTTACGTACTTACATTAATGCTTCTTAAGACCTAAATACAATGGGAAATCCAGAATATAGGGACCATTTGCTAAAAATCACATATTTTTCTCTGTTTAAAACAGACCTTTGAAGTATATAGCAGTTAAATTTTTTTATTACTATTGGTAATTAATACGGTACATTTCAGGAGGAAGAACTTTAGTAAATTATGCAAAAGTGGATTTTTTTCTTCAGATTAATCCACTGTGGGCACTGAAATGTCTGCTAAGTTTGGCCTAATTTCCATCAGCTTCTCAACCAGACATTTCTGTTATTATACATGTCAGTGAGTACAACATGAGGGGAAAAAGATGTGTATACTTTTTTCCCGATACTAGCAATTCTCACTGTAATGAGCAGAAAAATAATTGGACAATGGGGCTATCAGTAAAAGGACACACTGCGCTATGAGTCAGTGAATTATTTTATGGGACAAACTTTAGTCTTGAAATGGGGTTGTAAATAATTTGTGTTAACATCTGTCCATTTGGAATTCTTCTAACCATTTCAGTCATTATACAGTAAGTACTTCTGCGTTTAACAGTAACATTTGATACACATTTAATTTCTGTACTGCTCTGTGGTCCTTAGGGAGCTTTGCTCTAGTGCAACAGGAGAGAGACAATGTATTGATCAGTTAACATTTCAGCTATGGATGTTGCAAAATTAATGGAAATGCCAGACAAAAATGTCAGAGTGCACAAAAAGTTATAATTTAAATTTGGTAGTTTAATGAAAAGTTTAAGATGCGCATTATCAAAAATATGTACTTCCTTGCCTTTAAGGTATTTTTCATAACTGAGTAACTAAAGAGAACCATGTATTTTACTTAGAGGTACACTCAACATGGACTGTGAGGAAATGCATAATCTTCCAAGTGTTTGATATCCCAAAATGGCCTCAGTAAGATACTTATTTGCCTACTTGAACATTTAAGTATTACTCATAAAATAAACTTATTTCATTTCTCACTTGGAAGCAGAGTGCCCTCACACAATGAACATACATGTTAGCCTCAAATTAAAGGTTTTTATGAACACATTCTCCTACTCCTGTTCTTATTCCTTTCATTCATTCTGTATGTGTATATGCACACACAGAGAAGATGCTTTTCTTTCTTTTTTCCTCAGCCTCTCAAATATTGATAAAATTACTCTCCCTGCATCCAAGTCATTTGTCAGTTCTAACTCACCTTCACTTTGTCTTCTAACACTACAGAATTCATGTGTGAAAATAATAGTGTCCCTAGCTTTTGATTAAGTGTTAGCTCTCTTGCACATACAACATTTAGTTCTGGAGTTGTCAATTAATTAATTTAAAAGGAAACAAGATTTAAAAGAACTGGTTCCTAGAAGGATATGAGACAGCAAAGCAATTTTTTAAATTTACTGAGCTTTTCCTCAATAAAAAGGGAAACAATCACTACTGTGTATTTTGGAAGCAATGTCACTCAAAGAAGAAAAACGAAGGTTATGTTTCCAGAGAGATCTGATATGATACCATCAGGGGTTGGAATGCATTTTTTGTAATTATTACGTATTTTCCTTATTTTTTGACACTGTAATTGTAAGAGAATCAGAATTCCACATCTGTTAAAAAACTTGTCAATGTTCCCATTGTGGATACCATTATTGAGGATACAACCCTCAAATGGCTTTTTTTCCTAAACCTAGGTGAAATGTATCTTCAAATTGTCCTTGCAATCTCTTGTCTAGAATTTGAAATTTGAATAAGTGCTGGTAAGGTAGAAAAGCTTTTCTTATCTCCCAAAAAAAAGCCTTTCCAAAAATTGTTGTTGCTGTCAAAACTGCCTGTTGTCAAAAGAGAGATATGTAGAGGTAAAGTGACACGGCAATGGCAAGGCCAGGAACAAGATTAATTTCTGATGCATGTTACACACATGTGTAAGAGTCTTTCAGCTTTTTGTCATCTGTATCCACACCAACAGGTTAGAAGAATAAGTGGACAGGACTGCTGTGGGGTTTGGTGGTGTTTTTTTTCCAAAGTAAAGCAGACAAAAAGAAAAGTGCTCTAAGTTCTGTTTTCTCTCCCCCTGATTTTCTATATATCAGCAGAACTAATGTTGGACCTCTTCAAAGTTACAGTGGAATTTAAGCATTTTATAACACTTAGCTATCCTTTTTGCCAGGCTTTAGAAGGTGGAATAGGAAAGAAAAAAATAACAGAACCTGGTATATAGGACCAAAGAGATCCATTAGCCATTAATACTGAAAGAACATACCAGCACCAGCTATGATTAAAAATACACCTCTTACCTATAACAAATAAGTAATGATAGTGGTGTGGAAAAACTGGTGTTATCAGTCCATTTCTTTTGTTTCATAAATTGTGTGTTTGCAAATCTGATACAAAGATAGACTTAGGAATATTTGTATATGTAAAAGCCTCTTTAAATATTTTATTTTGTTTATAAAAAGTCACTTTCATTTTACTTTCTTCACAGAGTGACTGCATACTTGTGAAACCAGTCTAACACTGAGATTTATTGTCCAACACAGACCTGTGCCATTTTCAGTAATGTAGAGCATCCTGTGTGCCGTCCAGCTGCTGTCCCAGAAGAGTATGTGTCTCTCTTAGGTTCTCTGTCATTTCTGCCATTACCATCCAGGTGACTGGGGTGCCCACCCAAGGGTGTCTAAAATGGCACTAGCTCTACCTTTAAGCATTTTAATTGCTCCCTTAGGTGTTTATTTTTCCTGCATATACATTTTAGTACGTAACTAGATGCTGTTCTTAGTTTCTGCATAATCTTATATGTGTCCCCCACACATATGCTGTGTGGGGAATTACTTTCCTTATTTTGTGTTTTATCAAACAGGAGTTGACAGCAGCATAAAACATTGGTATCCCATGTCTTAAACTCTTCCTTCAATACTATACCATTTTTCCCACATATTCTCCTTAGAAAGCTGACAATATTCTGGAAATATTTAACTACCAAATCTTTTTGAATGCTATTATAGCTTGATACTCCAAAAGGTCTGTTTAGGATTACCTAAAAAGTTCTAAAAACAAGCTTAGATTTCCTGTTAAGACAGTAATGTGACTAAAAATCTGGGCAGCCAATTAGTGTGAGTTGCAGTCTTACTATGCAGGATGCTTCTGATAACCCAAGGTAAGTACAAGACAGTCCTCCACTGCCTGGTTTACTGGAGGAGTAGCAGAGTGGACCACTGGGCTCACAGAGACGGCTTGCATTGCATCACCAGTTCTTACTTGCCCTCTCCTCATTGCATAAAAAAGTATTGAATTAAAAACTTTGCACTTGAAGGAATTCAGACATCATTGACACTGAATTTGGATAATTACTAAGTAGCTTGGGTATTCTAAGGTAGTTGTGTACCCTATCATCCTCCAGTTCCCTGAGGTGCCATTTCACAGTTATCTCAGAAGATCTTGGCCATTTAAACTTTCATGACTTAGATACTGCACATGGTTGAGTTATAAGACATCTTTTTCATCATCTTTTAATGATAAGTATTATGAGAACCAACACATTATAAAGTCACATTACAGAGTGTTTTACTTCCTTTTTGTTTTAGTAGGAATGGGTATTATAAGGTTTGTTTTGAAATGAAAGAACTGTAGGACACACTGATTTCTCTGGGCCATTCAGTAGTTAAAATAATGTCATGTTATGGGTTTGCCAAAAGTAGCAGTGTAGTAAAGAAGCAGATATGTTGTGTTTTGGTAAAAAAACCCCTCAAGTAAGGTAAATCAGACAGAGAAGCAATTGTTTCAAATTTTTTTGAAAATACAGTGTGCAAAAGGCTTAGAAAGGACAGAAATTAAATTCAGAAATTAATCTACCAGTTTCTTCCTATTGCTCCTTAAGGAATCTTCAGTGTACTTATTCCTGTAGAGTGGTTGTTTCTTTAGTAGGTACATAGCTGGTAGGGGATGACATAAGTGTCACAGTGGAAGAATTTTCAATGTGCTGGATTTTACTGGAGTAAAAACACTTTAGACCATTTTGTAACATATCAGATATGCATAAGAAATATATTTATATTGCTTATATTGCTTAACTCACAATTTTATAATTTCAGTTTTGGTAGCTGAATGGGAAATCCAGGCTGTTAACATAGAAAAAAGCCTTAGAGCATAGGTTGTGTCTGCTATATGTGTGCTACATAATGCTATATGACTAACAGTAATTGCTTTTTTATTCATGATGTAAGTAAAGCCTTAAAAAACAAAACAAAACAAAACAAAACAAAAACAACCCTAAGTCATCATTGCAAAACTTTACATATGAAGTTTTGTCTCTTTTTCCTAAAGAGGAAGTGTCTGCCACACCTAGCTTTATCCTATGTTTTTAGCAAAAGAGAGATGCTGCATGCTTCCCATTCCATAAATGTATGGTTTGGACCTGGAAAGTGTTTGAAAGCTTGTTTTGTTCTTGTAGATCCCTGGTGGGTGGTGATGCTGTTTGTGGTGATGATGATACCCCACATGTGAGGTGGACTTGCAATGCAAGAAGCTTTGTTTCCAGTGCAACTCCACTGAGATATGTAGGGAAGTCCTGTGAAAGCAGTGGTCTTTTACAATCGTTTTTTTTTTGTCAGACAGGGAAATTCCCTTGTGACAGAGTGTGAAAAAGCCGTAGCACTAGAAATTGTCCCTTATATGGAATAACAAGTCTGTGTACTGAGCAGACGGTTTTAATGTCAAGGGGACAAATCTCTGAAGGGCGCTGTTGCAGAAAAAAACACTTATGAAGTTTAAAAAGTTTGGATATTTTTACTTTTCTGCTAAATTATGTATGACCTATACAGCAGTTTATTAGCATAATTTTTATTGTATAGTGTCAGTCAAGGTTAATGAGGTTTCCACTCAGGTTGTTTTCCATCCCTGAAAGATTAAAACATTTTCCAAAAACTAGTGCTTTCCTGAACTACTTGTATATGTGCTTTTCTCCTATCCCTCCCAAGGCAGCACCTAAAGATCTTGGTGACAAAGGTGAATCATACAAATTACTATCCAGGCACAATGTTTTCTTAAATTTCTCAGATAAAGGCCAAACATGTGTTTGCAGTTTTGTGAAGAAAATATTCTTGTAGCTTTAGCCACACCACTGGTAAAGCCTGCATGTTTGCAATGGTCCATCTTGCACAGTAACTTTTTGTACTGGTCATGACAATATTAAGAGGAGCAAAAACTGCCTCAAAGATCATTTTAATCAAGCATCAGTGTATGAAACAGTGTCGTCTAGATAGTTTTTTAATACAAGTATCATGCTTAAGTGATTTAACTTCTGCAGGAAAGAAGAATTTCAGTTGACCTTGAAGTAAAAAGCCTGTAAATGTCATAACCATTTGTTTGATGAAAGCAGGTTTTTTTCTTCTTTTTTTTTAGCTTATTTACTCTTAGAAAGAAAAAAAGGACATGTTTATACATGCAATCTGTTCAATATTTTGCAATAAACAAGGTGACAATTTAAAAAGTATTGTTTATTTTGGGTTCAGTGGCAGATTGTATTTATTCCAGGGTAAGTATTAACACCAGTAGAAATAACTAGAGCTGGGACTCCAATTGTTACTGAAGAGAAAAAACAATTGATCGCTGTAAACCAAATGGCTGTAGCTGATGTTGAATAGACTTACAACTGTATGGCAGATCTGTGAGTTTGTACATTTTCATGAATAAAATCTACACTATTACTGTTGCTCTGAAGTTACAAGAAACAACTGCTTTCCAGGTATACAAGTACTGTATGGAAAACCCACTGATTTTCAAAAATAGAAAAATTAACATAATTTAGTCTTATTTATTTGGTATTGACCACCACTCTCACAGCTGTTATTAGCACTACAGAGTTAAAACTGGTATTGTGTCATTGGAACTTTTGGTATTACCTTACCTTTCTCCTCAGTTCTTAAGTGCTTGTGACTGTTTAGCTGTTCTCACTCTGATTCTTCCTGGTGCTCATTTACAAGGCAGAGAAAAAAATCTCTTCCTTATCTCAGACCAGAAGGCACAGGTGCATGCATTTGAATCTTTATTTTCCAATGAGAAATCTTTCATTTTCCAGGAAAAGTCTGTTTTTAAAATTAAAACCAGCTAATTCCTTTGAAAGTGGGTAATCAATACTGTAAGGGATACCAATAATGTTTATAAAAGCATGTTTTCCTTTAAAAAGAAAGAGTGACTAATTTTTGTTTCATATACAGTATTCTTAATAATACCAGCAGATAATGTATTCCTTTAACATGAGTTAAATTTAAAGGTAGGTTTTTTAATATTTGCCACCATATTAATAATTACTTGCTTAAAGCTTGTTAGCAGAGGGAGTCTGAGTTAATAAACACTTTGTAGCATTAGTGTATAAAACACAGTGTACTTTTCCCAAGACAATGATTACCAGCATAAGACCACATTAACAACACCTAATGCTTGTTCCTTAAATGTGCTTGATTTTCATCTCTACGAAATAGTATCAAAATATTGCAGCAAGTAAACATGGAAATGTATTGGAGTGATTTATTTTATAGTAGAGGTAACTAACGCCTTGCTTGAGCTTTGTTTCTGTATTACATTATTCTCTTCATAGCACTGCAGCTTCACATCAGCCAGAAAAGGGAATCTAATCCTGAAGCTTCTTTAACACAACTCCAGTGAAACACATTAAAAAGAAGTTATTTCTTCATTACAGTCCATTAGCTGGAAATTTGGAAAATAACTGCAGTGTGCTGGTAGGTCTTTATAATGTAGTAATTTCACATTCAAGAATTGCTTTGGCTGTAGTTTATGGAGTTTTAATATTCCTGCTTTGCTGCAAGTGTGCTTCAGATTTTCATTAGCTACTTTGATTTCATCAGTATAAGCAAGATACATCTCTATAAATTACTGATTTACTGGAACATGTTTCTTTGCTTCAGAGTTGAGAGCTCTGTCAGCCCCATCCAATAGATGGTGGGCCAGTCTGGAGTTACCTGCCAGAGCCTGGGCTGCCCACCCGGGTCAGGCACTCTTCTGCCACTCCACTGCACCACCTGCACACCTGCAAACTGAGACATGCCCCATTCAGCCCTGCAAGAACAGCTCTATTGTTGCCTTTTCTGAGGGAAAATTATTCCAGACCTACTTCTGAATTAAATGCAAGGCTGTTATTACTCAAGGGATGTTAGGCCTCACTGCTTTTTTGAGAAAACAAATTTGCTGTAACTTTATCTGTAATTTAGTAGCACTTGGGTGCAAATAGAGGTTACATTGTATAGAATAGGAGGCAGAAAGTAAGGGTTTGTTAAAGCCATTAAATGGTTGGGTAACCCTTGCATATCAAAGAGCGGCTGTATCAAAGCCAGAGGTTAAGTTAAAAAAAAAAATCAACCCAAACCACACACAATAAACAACGATCAAAAATCCAAACCAAAACAACCAAAAAAACCAAACAACAAAACCCCAAACCCCACAAAACAAACAAAATACAAAAAAAACACCAAAAAAAACCCCAACAACAACAACAAAACAAAGAAAACTCAACAACAAAAACCAACCAAACAAAAAAACCCCAACCAAACGTCAAGAAAATACATTCATTACAGGTTTACCATTAACCATCTATTTTGAACCTGTTTCAAACATAGAGTTAAAGTAAGATTTCTGTCTATATGGACAATATAGCAAAATTGCACATTTCCCAGAAGTTAATGTACATTTGCTTTGATCAACAGGCTACTCAGAGAACAGCCATGATAAAGGCTACTCAGCTCTTTTTCCACAAGTTTTCAGTTTGGTTTAGTTTTGCTTTCTTACAGTAAATGTAGCAGAGCTGTGCTGTTCTCAAGTGCCATCTTCTTGAAGAATATGATGTCAAAATTCTTAAATACACTTTCCTTTTTGTTAGTTGGTTCTTGAATGTCAGAATTTCATTGGAAGAACTCATACTGCTTAAAACCTTAGTCCTGTATGTGTAGCCATTGCAAATGATGCTATTGAGGCCAATCCAAAACAGTCAAGTATATTATTCCATCAAAGTCCATTTTTACAACCATGTGCTTGTTCACCACCTTACATCCTGATTAGGCAGCAAATGTGCTAACTCACTCTTTTCCTCTTTTTTATTTTTTTAATATTAAAAAACCCCAATTTGGTGTTAGGAGTTTGATCTTGCTGATCAGCAAAGTTAAAGTTAAGAACTTAATGTGCTTTCTAATCATCCGGCAGCTGTCATTAGTGAATGACAATGCAGCTAATCCCCCCTTCCTCCCCACCCCGACACACAAGCCTACTCCTCCATTCTCCCCAAAGCAGCAGCAGCCACCTCCGGGCACACTCTCGGCTGAAGCTGGGAGCAGGGAGTAGTATCTGACCTGGGATCTGAACCTGGGAAACTCTGGTTAGTATGCTTCATTGTCTACGGATCACTGCGCTCACCCTTCTGCTGCTTTACTTACAATGTCTAATATGTCTGATTTGAATTAAATTATTTTAATTAAATCATTCCACTGTTTCTCACAGTGCAAGACAGTTAAGAACTGTAACTGGTGGTGTTATAAATCAGGTGTTCCCTCTTGATTTGCCCAAAGTTATTAAGCCGAAGATTAGCATGGATTCTGGCATAGACAGAGCAAAAGGTGTATGTGAAAGGAGAGTCAGCACTTAAACTGGAACTGAGAGATACAGCAGTTACTTTTATAAGCACCAGAAGCATTCCTGCTGGTGTTTTTCTCTCAGCATTGTGCCACAAGCAATGGATTCACTGTTTGCAAGAAAGGCAAAAGGCTGAGAAGGGGGGTTTTGGTTTCTGGATGAAAATGATGTTCATCTTGGTTTGTCTCTCATTTGAGCAGTCCTGTCATTTACCAGTCAGAGAGTGTAATGAATGCTCAGCTGCATCACCAGACAGAGTTTTTCATAGATAATTCCTCAATAGCTGATGACACAGCACTGTGGTACTCTAAAGCTTGTATTTATATTATTTTCTGCAGACATTAATTCTTTCTCACATTCTTTCTATTAAAAATTGAAAAGTCTGTCTCCCTCACGATGCAGAGAAGAAAATAAAACCAAAACTCTGAAGAATTTCTAATGCAGGAGGAGTGTTTTAAAACGGGATGCCTGTGCTATAAAACGTGATTATTGACTAATTAATTTCTGTTGCCTACCTGGCAATGACAAATGCAGCACTTTTCTGAGACCACTTTAAGATCTGGCTGGTAAAACCAGCAACCCCAATATGTCTGAAGTACAGGACTATCTGCTTGCTCTGTGATGTATCTTATTTCTGCTGAATCTTGATTTTTAGAACTGATAGTCAAATATAAAATATATATCGGTTAAAAAATAACAGATTATTTCTGGGTCACTTTCAGTGTTGACCTGAATGAGGGGCTGCATTTTTTTAAAGTTAATGCAGTTTAAAAATAATTTTAAGTTTCCCAGCATGAAAAAAAGAAGTGAGATACTGGATTTGCAAACAAAAGCTTTGTTGGTTTATGACAAGTAATCCATCTTTTTGCATTACTGTAGCATTCTACCCTAGATAATTTTTCATAATTGGTAATTTGTGAGTTATATATGTTATCTATTCTTTTATGGGCCTCTAAATAGTGAATGATGTCAAAGGTCATCAAGCATTCATAAAGAAAATTATTTTATTTTACTTTTTCCATTTTGATCAGTGTTCTGAAGAACTCTGTGAACATTTCAGGGAAAAGTACAAAGGAAAAAATAATAGCCGTTTTCCTGCAAGGAACTTCATGCAAATTCTATTATAGCAATTCAAAGAAGAAATTAATTTTAGGACTACAGCATTTTATGAATATTTAGTTAATCAGTTATGATTTATCTAATCATGGTTGGGTTTTAAATGTTGGAAATGCTTGTATGGCATAGACATGCAGCAAAATTAAGAATATTTGCATGTGACTGAATCATTTTGAATTTTCCCCTGTCAGAAATATTTTTGTAGTAATCCATAAGCCATTGTTTTCCTTTCTCTATGAAACTAGGAGTGTTTATAGACATGTGCTATCCCTACTCTTTGGAAGAATTTAACATTGGCTATGGGTTAAGAAAATCTAACAAGGGAGAAAAAATATAATCTAAAATAATAGCACCAAAAAGGCATTACATTTTGATGCATTGATTTGTTACAGGAAAGTTATTAATAGAAGGATTTGAGCGTATCATTGAAAATTTAGTTACCATAATGAGAAATCTAGTAGGAACTTTTCTCTTTATTTCTGTTTCTCCAGCTACCCATGAACGTTACCACTAATGCTCATGGACTTTCTGATTGAAAATTGGGAGAATTCAATAGTATATTAATAAATTCAACTAGTGGCAAAGGCAACTTGAACTAATTTACAGACAACTATATAGGAGGCATTAAGTATTTTAAAATGAGTTAAATTTTAATTTCACAGTAAAGTTATTATGAACATGCTGCCACTTGTGTGGTTCTCTCTCTCATCAACAGTCACTTAAATGTACTCTGAAGTGTTTCATTATAATGAGATATTTATATTAAAAATTATTCAGTATTATCTTAATAAATAAAATAGAATTAAGTCTATTTAATTGTGATGTAATTATATTGTATGTAGAATAATGTATATGTAGAGTTACAGTAATGTAAACCTTTTCTTTACTCAATTTCTAAAAATATGAATAGGAATAGCTGATAGGTTTTGACCACAGCATTCTTGAAATTTCATCTGAAAATGATTAATAATTGGATATTTTGCATAATAATTTCAATCTAAAATCAGAAACGGTATGAATAGGATCTTGTCCTTAAGAGAGATTTTAGTTGCTTAAGAATAAAGCAAAAGATACGTATTGTTGCTGAACTCCCTTTTCGTCACTCTATAGCATACATCAGTACCATCTGTTCTTCCCTGAGCTTATTTTTCATATACTTTTAAGCTTATGTTGTGGTTTATTTCTTTGGAATAGTGTATTTGGACAAGCTGGAATTAGCTACTAATATATCTTAATTATTTCAGAAAAGTGCTTTATCTAGATTATCTGTTCATCTGAGACAGTAAACTAAGGCATTTTTTCAACTCATCAGATAATTGACTCTGAATATTGCAATTATTTGATACAAATAAAAATTTACATGGACATTTCCTTCCTAAAAGGAATTCAGAATTTGAACCAATGGACAGAAAAGAAAATCTCATTTTAAAATTCATGCTTTCATAGCACGGTAGGGATTCTAATATTTATATAATTGTACTTGTGAACAGGTGCTGTCTTTTTGTCACTATAGATATGAAAAATACAGCCTATAAATACAGAACTGCTGAATTATACATTTAAAAGAAAAAATATTCTCAATTATTACTCTATTATATAATACAAAATGCATTTAATAATATTTATATTTTTATTTTCTATTTTTGTACTACTTTTGAAACTGTTTCCCCCCTCCAAAAATGGAAAAGAAAAAAGGATGTCAGAATTTTTTTGAAAGGCAGAATATATTAGTTTTCAACTGCATGTCTTGCCTTAGTCTTAGCTGAAGGTAAATGCAAGAGAACACTGCTGCTACTGCTGTTATCATTATATGCTGGATGTATACTGCAGTATCATGTATAGGGTGGTGGGCACACCTTTGTTCCTAAAAGTTAACAAACAGAGCCTGTGCTTTTAAATTCATATAATTAAGTTCATTCAAATCAGCATGAATATCCCCAACAGTAAATCTTCACATATTTATAAATATTTGCCACATCTGATCTGATTGGGTACAAGCAAAAGAGGAAGAGAAAGCATGCTCTTAAATTAAAGCACTTTCCCAAGCATTTTTTCATTATCTCAAAAATACTGGACATACTATTGTTTTTAGGGAAGTGATTCTCAGTACAGCTGTGCACAGTTCAGTAAAATATTGTTTATACAAGTGGTGTAGGATAGATGTATATTTAATAGGATACAAATACTTCCTGACTGTCACTTAACTGTATTTTTAAGACCAAATATAAATTTTGATATTCAGATGTGATCTTTTGATAGTTGTGGCCAAGTTTATTTGTCAAGAAAAACATGCCTGAAATAAGTGTATCAGAAGACCATACAGATTATTTGATGTTTGTTGATTAAAAAAGAAAGCCTCTTTTTTTTT